CCTTGCAGAACAAATGCTAACAGACCATTTACCCATCTCGGATTGCTTTTGTCTTCATGACACAATGCTGCTGCCAACTTATGCTCCATCTGTGATCCAATTAGGAAAGTCAGGTTATCCTTTCCCACTACCCAGCAATTTATTATTAAACTTTGTATGGGCAGCAAATAAATACAGAATGCATAACCAGCATAATAAGCCAAGAGCACAGTCTTACCTACCGCATTGCAAATACAACCCTGGTCTTACCACCACATCAATGAGGTGGGCAATTTATTACCACTGAAACCTGTCAAGTGGGCTTTTGAGTTTAGTTATTTTATTTATTTTCTTCCATGGAAACCCATACCACATACAACTGACATGGGTTGTGCTTCAGCATTCACATGAATGGGATGCCACATACAAGGACCAAGATTCACATTGGTCTGCCCATTTAAAGGATTAATTACCAGATTCAGTCTGTTTTTACTTCCCCCTCCCCCACAAACCTACTTCCCATGGTAAAAGCAACTCATGAACTAGTTCCAAGTTTTGACTTTTACAAGACAGCAGTTTAAAAACCCCAGTCATTAATAATGTTTAATACCTAGCTGGTTGCGACAGGAGAAAAGTAAAGTGAAACCTATGTTTTACCTCCACTGCACGGGTATTTGATGATAGAACTTTTCCATGTTTAGCTTTAAACTACAGACTGTAATTAACGCAATATTTTAAAACAGTAAACTACAAGAAATAACTCCCTAATCAAGATTTGGTCAATCAGGTTAACACTAAACTGAAAAATACTCTAGTAATGAGTTTGCATAGATTGTATTTGACAACACATTCATGACAAAGGGACAATATCTACTTGTTTGCACAGCAATTAAATATGCTGTAGCTGTTGAATAAATAATTTAATCCAAAACACATTTGCAAGCCTTTTTCCTGCTCAAACACTTCAGTGCTAGGAAAGACATTAATGCATCCTCCATTCACTGTTGAATAAAAAGCAGAACAAGAAGGAGGAACATCCTGAAACTAAAGGCACTTGGCAAAAGAAGACTTCCAAACAAAAACTGGGAAAAACTACAAAACAGTGAACCTAGCGTGAGAAACCATGAATGCATTCATTCTAATCCCCACTTCATTTTAAGCACATTTGTTTTAACACAGAGGCAAATACAGAACAATGAAGAATATTGTTAAATTCTGTACGTAAAGCTCTGAACATCACAGAAAACAGCATCTGCCAAAACAGTGCTTGAGGAATACTATCACACTTGAAGCACCTCTCAGCAGGCTATAGATGCTGATCCCTGGAGACAGACACTTTGGACTTTCTCATTTGTTAAGTTAAACCTAACTTCTTCACTGTACATAAGGCAAGATGACAACACCAAGCTGCAGTATGCCATGTGGCAGGCTGGAAGTAAGCTACTTCTCCTACCCACAGGATCTGCTTCATTCTTAGCCTCATGAAATTAAAGACGGGATTTTGGCCAGATCTTCCAACTCCACAGATTTTTCTTTCCATTTATACATTACTGAATAGCAATTGGGAGGAGCACAAGTTTCTTACATAGGATCAAACATCACCCAAAAGAACTACACCTTGGCATCCCAGAATGCCTTGTGCTTGCACTGCTGAGCAGCAGCACTGATGACTGTGTCCATCGGTCTGTGCTCAAAATGGTGACTGGTGCAAATCAGATGGCAGGTATTTTATTAGTCATGAACCCAGATGGACTGTCAGCATCAAGGAGCTTAGGACACTGCAGATGGTTAGAACCAGAGACCTGAATTATGTACCTATGCGAGGTAATCTCATGACAAATATGCCTCCCCACTGAGGAAGAGCAGAGCAGCCTAGCCACCCTGCAGAGCACTTGCCAGAAACAGTTACCAGGCATCCTCTCAGCCCAGAATTGTTCTAAGCACAGGGACCTGAGTTCAAAAGCCTAATTATAAACAACATTTCATGATAAGACTATGCTCCTCACTGCATGTATCACATTGTAAGAGTCTGCCACACGCAAAACTCTGCCCTGCAATGAGGAAATGAGTGGAAGGGACAAATATTTTAGTGTACTCACCAAGTCATGCACATAGAAGGCAAATGGAGAATACGGAAGTTAACACAAGAGAAGTTGTAAAATACTATCAAAAGCAAATACTATTTTAAACACAAGCGAAGAGAGTTAACAGAACATTCAGTTGAAACCATAGACTAAGAGAAGAGCTCCCACTCCTCTTACTCAGTATTAAACAGTTCTGTTGACACATTCCTCTAGAACAGTTTTAAAGGCAAACTAAAGGCTTGTGTTGACTGACAAGATTCAGCCATCCTTCTGTGTTGAGCCATGTATTTACAGCTTATTTGGAAAAGTAATCACAGCATTCCTCTGACATACAAAGTAGCAGTACTTTCTGCAATGCAACATGTTTGGTAGACAATGCAAACAGAGTAGGTCCTCCACCTGTGGCAGAAGAGCTATTCCTATTTAGTTTACCATCAATTCATTCTTATGCCATTTTAATCTACACATCAGTGTTTTAAATTATTTATTAAATGTTGTATTGCTCTATACAGGGTACAGTCCACAACTTAACAATCTCAAATTGCAGCACTTTATCTGCAGTACTGCCCCTGAAGGTAATCATGAGAAGATGAGAACTGATACAGGCAGAGCAATGTTGACAGAAATATTTGGGCTTTATCAGGGGGTGAGCAGCACCAGCACACCTGATGCAGGGGTTCAAGCTTCACAGTGGCATTTAAGAGCTCTGAAGTCTGTTTCCATTTATACTTTGCTTTGTCTGGCCATCTGGTCTATTCATACCATGGACTACACAACAGAACACATTCTTGAAATACAAGTCATTCATAAGCTTCAGCCCTAGCAGAATGGCTATCACATGCCATATCAGTCCAACACACATGGATTTCTGCATAATTGATCA